ATTTTAACGTTACATGTAAACAACTTAATTATAGTTCTAAATAAAAAGTATATATTACCTGTAAACTCAAGGAAAAGCGATGGCTGGATTTGAATGAAGTATGTGGATGATCTGTGTTCAAAACAGTCCATAAAAAGGACTTTTAGCACTAGAAGACGTAATAATAACTCTATAACTTGGTAATGAAAAAACTTACTAGTACTTGAAGTCACCATGATTGGTAGGGCTTTAGACAACTCTTAAGATGTCCATTATACAAGAAAAGATAGTTCAAATGCTGTCAAAAGCGAGTCAAAAGTGCTTCTTTCTTCATTCCCCGTTTATTAATTGATTTGGGTGTGGTATTACGTGGTGGGCGTGGTTTCATTTACTTCGTGAACGGGCATGACATGGAAACATTGAAAATAACTTAAAATGGCTTTTTCTCTGTACTAGTATTCCAGAGCAATCGTCCAAACAGCGTCCCTAACTTCCAAATTTTATTGCGCATTGTCATAAACGGGATATTGCTGGAAAGGAAATTTTTTTCTCTATCTGTGAGTACCAAAAACTGATTTTACCAAAATCCCGCAGATAGCCTGGTTTTCTCATATCGGGTCACATGTGACGTTTCCTATTATTATACTGGTGTTCGTGATGTGTTTCATCTGGTTTGAAGAAACATTGTGTGAAATGTTTTCTGTTTGATTGAGGGGTAGTCAGATTCAGACGTTGCCATTTTCGATTCATTTTTTTCGCAAAATTAAACTTTCATTTTTTGTATAGTTGTATAAAAAATATAGAGGTATGACAAAATGTGAGCATGCTTTGTGATGGCACAACATTATATACAGTAACCCAATGGTATAAACAAAAAAAGGATAACTTAAACTGCCTGAAACATTTGTAGTTTGTTGTCAAGGGTAAAATTGCAATAATGCAATAACTTAAAAAAAGTGCCTGTCTCCTCTTCAGAATGCTTGCTATTTGCTTCATGAGTTCTATAGCCCATGATTATGCCTGTTTAACTTAAAATAAGACCGTCTCAGCCCATTGGCGTTTCTACAGCTCTAAAGTCACCAGGGCACAGTTCAAACCAATTAATTTTTCCTTTCTTCTAATAATCATTATTGTGTTCTTTTGCATGCATGCTCTTGTATTGTTATTGAATCATCAATTAACTGTTAATAAAAATATTAACATTTTAATTGTAAAATATGACGTGTATGTGTTCTTACTGTAATGAGGCACAGTCTACAGTAGAAGAATCCTTGAGTCATAGAAGCTTGAGTACAAGATCTTCTAGATTACTGTTTAGTTTTGTGGATAAGTCTCTTTCAATGTTGAAAACAGCTAGATCTTGGAGTGTCTCTTGAGACATTGTCGAGCGAAGATAGTTGTGTATTTTCCTTAAGATGGAAAAGCTTTGTTCTACAGTGGCAGTTGATGTCCCGATAGTGAGAGCAAGGAGAGCACACCAAGTAATGGTTGGAAAGATATCCTTGATGGGACTGAGTACTTCAAGCTGATCAGTAACGTTGCCACTATCTTTCCCAAATGGGTTCGACTTATCATGTTTTTAAACGTCAGTACCTCAGCATCCACACATTCTGTGCAAACATTGTAGTGCTCAAGAACAGGTTTCAAAAGAGTAACATTGAGAAAATTCTTACTCAGTGGTTGTAGTGTGCCAAATCCTTTTAGCAATGTGATATTGATGTTGTTGAAATGTCTCATTTCTGAAAGTATGTGGTCAAGAATGGGAAAATAAAAGTCTACCTTTTATGCCTCACTTGATAACCTGGATACATGACTTGCACCAATGGTATTGCCAGTTAGAACTTGGTCATTTAAAGTGGTTTGGGCAGTTCGCCTGGCCCTCTTGGGTTGACCACCCATACTGGATAGTGCTCTACTTCACACTCCAGATGATTGGAGAATGCCAACTTTTCTTCCCATAAGCACTCCCACTGAGTAGCATCACTCCTCATGTCAGCAAATGATTGAATCGTAGTTTCAATGACAGCAGCAGCACTAGCATAATCAATGGACTTTGATTGAAGCATCTGAAATAGATTGGCTGTTATTCCACTAATTTTTTTACAAACTATAAGGCAGCTAATGAACTGAAATGATTTTATGCCATGGAGAATTCCATGAGCTTCAATAGAACATGCCGTATCAGATGATTGTACAATATTTTCAAGTGTCTGAACTACTGCTGGATACGTTAAAAGTATAGCTTTGATTAAATCTAATTGGCAGCACCACCTTGTATCACTTGCGTAGCAAGATCTCTCTTCTACCTTTTGCTTTTTGGACAGCTTCATGGGATTTGGTGGATGAAAGAACAACAAACGGATTGAAGCAGTGCAAACATGTCAGTAGCAAATTTTACTTTCTGGACTACATCCACTACTACAAGATTGAGCCTGTGTGCACTACAGTCGACATACACAGCCTGTGGAGCTTCTCTTTGATTGATAGCCTGTACTTCTGCATTTGCCTACTCATGACAGATGCTCCATCATAGCATTGGCTAATACATTTGGTTATATCCAAGTCGAACTCAGATGCACGCTGGAGAATGTACTCAGCCAAAGAAGCAGCCTTTAACTCAGAGGCATGGCTGTATCCTGAAAATCGCTCCATGGTTTTGTTCTTGAGAACATATGTAAAGGCAATTGATATTTGCTCCCGTTTGCTACTGTCCTTTGCCTCATCTGCTAATTGAGTGTAGTATTTAGCTTCTTGAAGTTCTTCTTTGATAATGCTTCTGACATGATTTGCAAGAAAATGAATTAGTTCATTCTGAATGGAGGGATAGAGCCAAGTAACACTTGAGCTATGTTTGCTAAGCCTTTTTCAACAACATTGGAGCGGTGAGACAGCAAGTTCATGAGACTTAGAAAATTACCTTGATAAGAGTCAATTTCTCCTTCTTTATGACGTTGTAGAGCAATAATTTGCTGAGCAGAAAATATGATGCCCTCCATTAGTGATGTATCATACTCCCTATTATCCTTAATCAACTGTGTACCTATGGTTTTCAATTGCTGGCCAATAGTGCTATTTTGCTCCACTCTTGTTTATTCGGCCCAATTAAACATTGCCAGCTTATGATGGCTAGTGGATGAATGCACCAATAGCATTCCTTCATTCCCAGCTGTGTGCTTTCAATCTTTGAATCCTCCAGAAGCAAATGTGATCTCAGCACCTGACTTGCCATAAAACCTACATGGGAAGCAGAAAACAGCATCGTGCTCCATTGAGTACTCTATCCATGGGTGTAATTGGTACCATCTATGCTGGAAAGAGCAACTAACACTGCCAAATTGCGACTTAGGTCATTCAGAATTCAGTGGTTGAGCCAGTTAACCAGATTTGTTAAGGGCTAAATCATTGAACTCAAAAGGAACGCGACATGAAATACTTGACAAGGACTTGGAACAACTCTGATTTCCTACTTCTACATCAATACTAACACCACTACCTGGATCATCTATTACAATTATACTATATAATAGTAATGCATTGCAATAATGTTTCATAACAAACCCGTTTGGTTACGAGACCGAGATTGACCATTATGGTTGTCACTGGTGCTAATTGTGTGACTTGACTGATTAGTTTTCCCCCACAGCTGAAGCAAGGACTTGCTCATTCTTTCAGTGTAACGAGTAAAAGAACAGCTGTGCTTCTTCAGTAATCAGTAATTTTAGTACTCTTGGTTCATATAGGTGTGTCAGGGTGTGTGCAAGTATTTGGTTGGAGCTTCCTTTAATGGAAGATCAATAGAATAACAAGTTTAACTTAAACAACTCTGATGAAGCATTTTCCAGTCAAAAAAAATTACCAGGGCATTGCCCTGGTGTGCCCAATGCTAAAAATGCCCATGTATCAGCCAACAGTAAAGATTATATGAACAGTGAAGCTAGCAACCCAAGCGGCCTAGCTCCGTCTGGGCCAAACTACATGGTACACCACCATCCACATTAGCTTCGAGAAGCATTTGAATGTTTTAGAAAAATACTACAATTGATGGAAGTAACTTTTTCGCATCTTTTGAAGACAAGAACAAAAAAATAATTCTTTTAAGGCAAAAACAAATACCAAAATGAAATCTTATGTAGTAGGGCTATGTTTGCTGTCTAACCAAATGGATATCAAGGAAATGACACCTCCTGGTTGGTACACAAGGCTATAAGAAAGCCGTCATCATAACCTAAAAAAGTCCTCACTTTACCTAATGTAAAAGTTATTTGCTTCAAACAGAAAGCGTACATCTCCATTTCTTCTGCACTATGACTTGTTACTATGGTAATATCAATGAATATAATTAAATAGTTAATATTATAATTATTAATTAATATATGATTATACTGGAAATGGCACATAGAGCTAAACGGCAAGCTGCTGCAGCTGAATGAGCTAATTAGAAGAGAAACATTGCTTACAGCGAATTTTTTGCTCTCTGGAAATAGGAAACAAGTTTTTTTATCAATGGCATCTGCAAAATAATATGCCAATCACCACACAAATTAATTAGAATGAAATTATTCTGAAGTAAAGTGGAGATCATCACATACATGTCCAATGGTGCCACTACCTGTCATGTATTGTACTAGGATTGTCTTTTCTCATAATCTAAAGCTGTATATCTAATGTGGACCATTTTAACCCCACCAATCCCAGGATAGTAAATAGTACAGGTACATGCACATACATAGGGGTATAGTATTGTCAGAGTATCACTGTACACCATTTTAACACCACC